CATTATATAACATAATATACATTATTTTATACATATAATTGATAGACAAATATCTAAGTTAGACTAATTCCATTTAAGAGAAAAACATCAAAACAGCAAAATTGAAACCAGATCCCAGCAGCAGTCTGCACTGCAGTTGCTTGGACCCATGTCCTAATACTCAGCAAGGCCCCCTAATTGTCTAAACGGCCCCAATGAATGACGATGCAGAGGTTTCGGAGTCCCTCTGCATCTAGTCCTTGAGAGGTTAGTATTACTCATGAAAATGAAACAAAGATATTAAAGGAACTGTAGGCATAGATTCAATAGTATTGAACAAAAACTTAACCAACCACATCCAGCATTAAAAAAATGTGCCTCCAGTGTCACGGGGGCTGTTACAGCTGTGGTTCTAGAAGTGGTGGCTGAAGCCAAAGACTGTTACAGGTGGTACCCCCTGGAGGGGGTTGCCAGTGAGGATAGCCCCAGGGAAAATGCTAAATGTATCACATGTTGGGGAGGAATGAGTGATAAGAAATATAAGGGACTGTGGAAGCAGCCCCAGATTATTTCACTTTTCCAATTTCAGCTCCCAATCTTCAATGTTTGAGATTTAATATTATTAGATCTTCAGAGATTCCAGAGTTAGTGATTTCAGCCCCCATCACACCAATCTTCCAGAAGGTGTTGGGAGCCTCTGAAGGAAATGGAATCCTCCAGCAGTCCATCTCAGATAGAAAAACCTTGGAGGCTTTGCAAATAGCCGAGAACAGCAACTGTTCCTGGGTCTGCGGCTGTTACAGCCTGGCAGGGAGGGCAAAGACCCAGAGTTGGGTTCCTCCCTGAGTTGCATAAGTATGGCCATTTATTGGATTGCTCAGCAGCTTCAGCTGCTGGTTTGAGTTTCACTTCTCTGGTGTTTTCTGGGGCATCCTGCAGCTCTGGCAAGCATCTCCTGTTGTGTCTTGTGTTGTCCTCTTGAGTTGGAACCTGGCCTATAGTCTGGCTGCCACTGTTTCAGGCCTGCAGTGGTAGGAAAGTACCATCTTGAGCATATTGCATCTTGTTTGGGAAAGGAGCACTGCATCCTCAAATGTGGGAAGGTGCCATCTTAGCTGCTTTTGTTTAGGACTTGAAAATACTGGACACTGCTTCAGCTGAGGTAAATGGCCATTTTTAGCCTCAGAAATTCTCTTTGTTTTTCCCTGGTTTGTTACAAAAATCCCATTATTGTTTCCTGAGCCTGAGTAGTCTTGCAATGTTGTGCACAAGTGAAGAACTGTTAAACAGACTGATAAACTATTGAGCAGGGTCCTTGGCCAGTTTTAGTACCCCTTTCTGCCCAGTATCAGTTCCTTGGAGCCCTCTGGCTCAGAAGCCTGTCCTGACCTGAGTGCAGGCAGGCAGATTTCGGCAGGGTCTAGGCTTTTCCCTTTTGTATATGGCTCCAAGAATGTAAATGGCACAATCAGGTTCAAAGTTTCCAGGTGAAAACTTGAGTTATTAATGAGAATTGAAAACAAAAGTTACTTGATTGGTGTTTAAAAGAACCAAACAGCTAGAACTGAAGAAACAGCCCAATGAGGGTAGTAGGGTGGAAACCTTGAAAATGATATAAGGGAGAGCAGAAGCCAGCCTGACTCACTCAGCATATGGTCTCCAAATAAGTAAAACTCATCAGATGCCTCTTAAAAGAGAAGAGATTCAGCAGATAGGTACAGAAGAAAAAGCAGCATTGAGCAGATGACATCACTAGGATTCTGAGACTTCCACATACCACAACACCAACCTCTACTTCCATTTTAAAGCCACATAATTAAGATCTGAATGACAATTAGAGAATCTGAAACTGATTGGTATGTTTACCATCCTGGAGCCTGCTGTCCAAGCCCAAACTGAAGTTAGGGCAGGCTCATGACAGGAAGGCTCCAAGGCACCATGGCAAAAGCTGGTCTCAGTTTGGCTGGGAGCACACTAATCCAATGCCCCTTAATGGGGCCAGGTATGACAATTCAGTTGGCCATGTGGCAAGCTGGAACATGGATCCCAGAGACTATAGGGTAGGCTCCCTCTGAGATGTTTAATATTTAAGGATTATTACCAACTAATTAACAAAATAATGCTACTGTCAGACTGTGAATGTTTATATTGTGCATTAGACTCAAACTCATATTCATCTGATATAAATTCTAACATTAAAAATTCAAAGTATTTTGTGTAATCTATACAGCAAGGATCAGGAGTTTGGCATTTTATCCTTAACTTAGCCTTGCTGCTGGTCCTCACATGGAGTAACTGAGTCTTTGATTCTATACCCATTTCTGGATCAAATTTAGAATTTAACACCCTCATGATAAGAATTACTGCCAGCTGTTGTTTCCCGCAGGAATGTCTTTTTGTGCTGGATGCTCTATATGAAAATGGAGTTTTAAATAGCTTTTCCAAGACCTTCTAATGTCTAAAATAATGGCTATGAATGCCTAGCATAGCTTGGGTATCTGTACCAGCAGATCTTAGGGTTCTTTCCAGAAATGTGTTGGTCTGATCTGTCCAGATGAACAAAGGCCCTAACATAAAGGTGGTAAGTGCTGAGGTAAGCTGCAATTACATCATCATTATGAAAAGTAAATGATTTCAAAAAGAATTTCTATTCCATGTTAAATACAGAAGTTGGAAAATAAAAACAAGGTTTTCAGTCCTCCCTGGTGGCCTAGGATTTAAGTCTCAGCGCTATCACAACTATGATCTGAGTTTGTCCCCCAGGGAGCAGACACACATGGTGCAGCACCACTTCTCCTGTCTTGCCCACGCTCCCTTTATCAGTGAATTTCAGAAAATTCACCTGCTTTTCTCCCCACTGTCTCTGGTGAATTCTCTCACACCTACAACTCTGGCCTATACCCCAGTTCTATGCAAAAAAAAAAAAAATTAACTTATTTTAAAAAACCAACTTTCAAATATAATTTTATATTTCTATGTATAACTATTATATAAACTTTTTACTATAAAAGAAACTTACATACTTCTCATGGGTAAAGCACAATTACATAAGAGTTTATTTTTTAAAAATTATATGTTCTACAGTGTATAATCTGATTTATTAGGAGAAATCAAATTTTTGAATATCACTAATCTTTTAGAAAGACATGCAAATAGGCTATTTTAACATCAGAGATTCAATAAAATAATAAGCTTTTTAAATGTCAAATTGTGGTACTTAGCATGAAGTATTTAATGCAATTGAATTAAGTAATCACTTGCTCTGGTAAATTTATGTATGACTATAATATTGGACACCAATTTAATAATGCTTCAGGCATAAAGTAATGAAATTTATAAAATCTATTACTCTGACAGATGGAATAGTAATGCCTTATACACAAACCTATTCTTGATAGTTTAAAAAGTAATTCTTTATGCAAAGTAAATTTTTGAAAGAGAGCAGGATTTGGAATTCCCAATTTAGAACAACTAAAAGTGGGTAAGTGTCTCCAATATAGAAGAAATAATTTAATCCTAATCACTTAAAGACTACTGTTCTTGGTAACTATTTCTTAATTACCTAAAGCACTCTTTAAATAACAACAGAATAAAAATGAGATAAATGAGATTTGAAAATCTATGGAAGAATCATATAATAATTAGAACTTATATCCAAAACTGATTCAAAGTCTATCATCTTTCAGGCACATCACTGTCCTTTAATTCTCTAAAATAACTTAGACAAATGAATTATAAAGATGTTTAAAAAGATAAATCTAGGCCCTCCCTGGTGGCGCAGTGGATTAAAGCACTGCATTAAGAAGCTCAAGCCACTTCCACATGAGTTCGATCCCCGCCTGCTCCAGAGGTGACCACATGGCGTGGCAGACCTCTCCTGACCCACCCGCTGTTCCCCTCAGCAGTGTACTTCGTTGATCTGCCTGTTCTGCTCCCTACTCTGTCCCTGGTGAATCCTCTCACCCTCCGCATCTCTGGCCTGTACCCCAGTTCTGTATGAATAAAATAAATAAATCTTAAAAAAAAAAAGATAAATCTATATTAATAAAGACAAAATCTCAAAATATTGGTGGAATTGCAGGAAAAATATGTACAAATAATAAACTAAACATGGGTTCATCTTCCAAATACAAAGCAATAAAACATGAAAAGAAGTAGAAACATGAAGTAAATGTCAGAGTAGTGAGGACAAGGGAAAAGGAGTCATAAAATAAATGCTGGCAAGGGGAAAGAGGGAAGGAAACAGTAAGGAGAAAAAGAAGGGGGTGTAGAAAGGGAGGTAGAGGGAGGAAGAAAAGCATTTAAAACTATGTCACTTCTTTTCTGTTGGGAGAAACAACAACAAAAATACAGTATTTTCACTGTGCAAGACATATTCAAATATGTGAGTTGCTTATTTCATTCATTTACACAAAATAACAAGATAGTTTACAAGTAAAGGGCAAAAAAGTAAACAGTAATAAAACAGAAAGATAAAGAACAAAAATTGTTCTTAATATGGAATGTATCTAGAAATAAATTTTTAACTGTAAATTTTCTATAATTAAAAAAGTCCAAATATGAAGACCATTTAAAATTAGATAATATGCTTCTCTTTCCATTTATATACAAGTCTTTTCATGACATTTGGATATAAACATAAAATCAAGTTATAAAGGCAATATAATGCTATAACATAATCTTGTAAATTTAACACTTTTATAAATTACAGTAGAAGGAAATTTTAAAAGGCTTCCAAATAAATGCAATCATATCTTTTTTACTTAATAGTCAGTAATTTAAAAAGTAACTATGATGCTTATAAGTAAATTTTTGAATTCCTTGCATTATATTACCAGTGCTATATAATTTCATTTAATATGGGCTATAAAAACAATTTTCATCATTAAAAACATAGACTTTAGATTTTTTTAAATATGAATTGGTCCAAGTGGAACGATTCTACTACTTATAAACACAATTTTTAATGATAAGAATAAAAAAACCAATAAAATATACATTTTTCCATAATTTTGCCATACCTTTAGCTAAAGCTTCTTTATATTTCTCTTTGGCAGAATTCATTTCTTTTATTAATTGCCTATAATTGGATTTTAATTTCTCTAATTCTGTCTTTGTAACCTGTCAGAAAAGAAATGCAAAAAAATAATTTTAATGCCTAAATTTACATTGGTCAAGAGCTGAAATTCCAAAACACTGGTTTTTATTTTACAAACTGATTTTTATTTTACTACTATACATAAGAATTATTCCTTAAAATGTAACTATATATAATAATCAAAGTTAACTTAAAAGCCACAAAATATTTAACAACTTATGAAAATAAATATTCTCAAAAAAAAAAAAGTAAATCAAAGAGAGACCAGGATGGAGTAAAAAGGAGGCTACTTTTTCACTCCCTAAAGTATAATCTGTCAGTTAACCCAGACCATCACTACACCTTGGGTGTCCCGAGATAACTAGAGGAACTGGAACAACTTTCAAATAATACACCAGATGTGAACTGCAACAGATGGGACATAGAAAAAGATTCATGTTTCATTAAACAAGAGGTAGGAAGAGAAAAATGACTGAAAGTTGTGATCCTGGGAAAGAGGCTACCATATAAACCACTGCACTGGCAGCTGAGCTTTAACCTTAGGTAAAAGAGACATTAACAATGCAGAAGTATACACCCATAATTGAGGGGACATAGCACAGAGAAGTTGGGGTGTTCTCAGTGAGTGTGGCCACTAGTGAAAAAAACAAGCACAGGGCCTAGCTGCAGACTCCTTCCCACGGGCCTAGCTGCAGACTCCATTCCACATAACCCAGGGGAAATACTGACTTTGTGAATATATTGAAAGTACACAAACACAATTTGTTTGGAACAAATTGGGTGTGGAACCCTGAAAGGAAGGCTATTAACAGTACATTTATGAGCCTGCTGCCCCTCTCACAAACAACTAGATCTCTAGAGCCTCCCTCTTAACTCCAGGTTAAGGAGATGCAAGATGTGGTCTCTTGACATAATGAAGATGGGAAAAGCAAAAATCTGTTGCCTACTGAAAGTAAGTACTTTAAAACTCTAAGTTACTGCTATAGATCATTAACCAAAAATAAATAAATAAATAAATAAAAAGAAGAAAAAGAAAAAAGAAAACAAATCTAAAAAAACAAGTAGATATAAAAATACATGGGAATTCAAGTGAATATATTGTTATGGAGAATATAAGTTTCCAAAATTCAACAAAACTGCATGGAAAAGTTTCTGTTCTGATTAGATAAGTTCAAAGTTGACATGATAATGAAATTCAAAGAAAATAAAAACCAGAAAAGTCAAACAAAGATAATAAGAAAACTGGAGGCCAAGGGGGGAGAGAATATAAAATTAATGTACACGAAAGAGAAAGTGAAGATTTAAATTACAAAGCCATGGAGATGCAGGATGTAAAAAATTCAATACAGAAGGAAAAAAGTACTAGTGGAAACTGGAAGCAGAACTGACAGAATATACCATCAATACAATGACTTGAATACAATACCCAGGTAGAAGAAGAAAGAGAAATATGAAGGGGAATAAAGGATTATCTGACTTCCTTAAGAAAGACAATGTAAGAATAATAGACATTTAAGGAGGTAAAGAGAGAGAGCAGTTATTTTTTAAAAAATCAAACCCAATCTGGGAAAGGAATTAAGCATAACAGTCCATGAATCTTACAGTACACTTGGTCATCAAAATGTAAAGAAAGCTACATCAAAATTTGAAACCACAGAGTCACATGACAAAAAAAAAAAAAAAGAATACTGAAGATGGGAAGGGTAAAAACAAGTAATTTATAAAGGTACCCCATCAGTTGTACATCAGACTTGTCCTACAAGAAAGGAGAGAATGGAGTGACCTATTTAAAATACTAGAGGATATAAATTACCAACTAAGGATACTGTCTGTCTGTCTGTCTATCTACCTATCTGTATCCTTCATATTTTCAATCAAGCATGAGGAGAAAGATGATCTCAAACAAAAGATGAGAGTTTGCAAATACTATACCTCCTCTAAAAGAAATATTGAAAGAATCTCTATTATCTAGACTGATAAGGGGAAAAAAGTTGAACAAGGAAGCACATGAAATCAAAAATAAAGACAAAGTTACAGTAACAGATACTTACATATTAACAATCATCCTGAAATAGAATAGAATGAACTCATCAATCAAAAGGTATACCATAAAGACATGAAGCATAAAGCAAAACCAACCTTTCTGAAATCTCCAGAAAACCCATCTAAGATATAAAAAGTAAATTAGGCTCAGGGTGAATGACTAGAAAACAGTTCATACAAGCAAAGAGAACTGAAAAAAAAAAAGAGACAGCTATAGTAAAATAGATGAAATAGACTTCAACCTAAAAAAGGTAACAAAAGACAAGGATGCACAACACATAACGATTAAAAGAACAATTCACCAAGAGGACATAATACTCATAGATAATAAGTGTGTCAAATGAAGGAACATTAAAAATATTTAAGGCAACTATTGACAAATCTGAAAAACGAAAAAAGGAAAAGGACTTCAACATCCCACTTTCATTCATGGACAGATCAACCAAAGAAAATATCTAGGACAGTAGCAATAAACACAGAACTATGCAACACAGGCTTACATCATTTAGAAAGCAGTGGATACCAAAAAAGCTGAGCACATATTCTTCCCAAGTGCACAAGAAACATACTCAAAGGTAGAGGACATGTTCGATCACAAAGTGTCAAAAATAAAAATCATAAAAACTGAAAGCATATTAAACACCTACTTTAGTCACAATTGCATCAAACTAAAAAGAAAAAAACCAAACTGTAATAAACACATACTACAGGCTCTCCCTGGTGGCACAGCGGGTTGAAGCACAGCACTAAGAAGCTAAAGCCACTTCAGCTTGAGTTCGATCCACGCCCCAGAGGTGATCCACAAGGCACTGCAGACCTCTCCTGACCACCCACTGCTCCCATCAACAGTGTACTTCGTCAGTCGGCCTGTTCTGCTCCCCACTCTGCCTCTGGTGAATCCTCTAACCACCCCTGCACCTCTGGTCTATACCCCAATGTTGTATGCATAAATAAATATATCTAATAAATGAATTAATTAATACATGAATAAGTAAATAAATGAATAAATAAAAAGATAAACTTTTGCCATTTGCTACAGTATGGATAGAACAGGAGTGGATTATTGCCAAGAGAAACAAGCCAGAAGAAACACAAATACTGGATGGTGTCATTCACATATGGAATATAGGAAAATAAAACAAGAGTCAAACAAAACCATACCAAAAACAACTCCTAGAAATCTAACTGTAAAATCCAGGCTACCAGAGGGGAAGGAGGGTTGGAAAGCAAAGTGTGAAATGGATCCACGAGAGCATGGGGCATGCGGGATTTTAGGCGCCATGGGGATGAGTGTTTTGTGTTAATATAGGCCTCAACACAATGAACCTATCTTCTAAATCATGAACAGTATGGTAAATACATGTTATGCTTACTTCATTAATTTTTTTTTAAATAATAAAATGAAAGCACTCTAGGAAGTTTTCCCTGAGTATTAATCTGAGGACTAACACTGCTAAACTAAGGGAATAAAACTATTGTTTCTGTTATTTCTTTTTTTTTTTTGCACCCCCCCAAAAAAAAAGGGTAAGAAAGAAGATCAAACAGTGCTGTCAACCTGTAAAATTTAGAGATCAATAAGTCCACTATTTACAGAAATGTTTTCTGCTATTAAAAAGCTAGTTTAAATATTCATTTCAATATTAGAATGACTCTGAAATGATTTAAATCATCAATTGTAACATGAAACTTTGACATTTCAACATTTTTTTTCTTTTATTTTTTTACATCATTCTACATTTTGTGCTTCCCACCACCAATTCACCCATGAGCTATCACCACTGTCCAGGACATTGCGACATTTCTGAAAAGAAGCTGTATATAACAATCACTGCTGGAAGATAGGAGTCATGAAGATGGTCCCTGCATGCATTCAAGAACTTTATACTTTCTAAAAAAAATACTAGTCAAATTAAAGTCTTTGGCTCAACAGTCAAAATGCCACTTAAATAATATTTAGGAAAGAATAAAACTACTTGATGGAACCTTAAAAACTTCTGACATATCTTCTAAGAAGACTAGGAAATTAGCAAAATTGAAAACATACCCCACTTTTTAAATTTTTGGTGTTTCTAATTTCTTAGACTTATAAGTAATCATCATAACCCAGGTCATTTATGTTTGCTCCTATGTGATCCCCTATATGTTTTTATAGTTTTACATTTCATATTTAGGAATGTGATGTATTTTGAGTAGCTTTTTGTAAATTTGTGTCTAGGATTTAAAGTCAAATTGTTATTTGCATATATATTTATAGTTGATTCTGCACCATTTTGTTAAAAATACTCTTCATTTTTTACTTTGTACCTTTGTTAAAGATCAGTTGACTATATTTACCATGGGTCTGTTTCTGGGCTGCCTATTCTGTTCCAGATCTACTTGTCTATTGTCTTTTGCAAATACCAAATTAAATGATTACTGTGTCTTTATAGTAATTCTTTAGGTTTAGTCCTCTGACTTTGTTTTCCTTCAGTATTCTTTTGGATATTCTAGGATGTCTGTCACTTCATATAAACTTTATAATTAGTAAGATCTACAAAATAATTGGCTGAAATTTCTATTGTGATTATATTGAATCTATAAAGGAGAAAGATAAATATCAGATGGTATCGCTGATATGTGGATAAAGTAACTAAGCCAAAAGTCAGATGAATACCAGCTTGAAAACTAATCCTTATGGCTGATTACAGAACTGAAGCACTGAAAAAAAGTGTGTGGGAAGAGGTAAGAACACAGGGATAGAAGCACAATGATATCTGGTGATGGAATATGGATAAGGTGGTGGTGGCTGCACCATGGTAGTAAATACTGTTTTCCTATCCATGAATATGGGCTATCTCATTTATTTCTTGTTGAATTTCTCTTACCAGTATTTCAACTTCCTTCTATTGCTCTTATACATACTATGTTAGATATACACCTAAGTATTTCATTGATGGTGGTGCTAATATAAATGGTATTGTGTTTTAAATTATATTCCATA